CATTGCCTTTTGATTGTCTTTGCATTTGCACAATTCAGCGCCAATTTTAAAATCATTTTCACACACGACTGCATCCCACCTCGGCCCGGAAATGTTTACGGGCAAAGAAATCAACGCCCACGCACCCGCAGAGCAATACCATAATACGATAATGAAGTTTTTCAGTCGCCCGGCTCCGGAATTTCCCCATCCGATCCGATAGGCACGAAGCGTGTTTGTTTATCTGCAGAGCGGCCAATGCAAATTCGGCCGCGAATACAAATACAAATAGAAATGAAATAAAATAAATTCGGGCCTTGCATGGCTGCTTAATTGCGCGCAACTTTCAGCGGCTAAATTAAACGTGAAGATTGCAATTGGCGCTATTCGCAAAAACTCAAATATCGCATTCGGGCACTCAGCACTAATAAGATAACGATTTATTTATGTTTACTTGCAGACAAAAGGCGGAGCAGATAAAGAACGCCAGCAAAACAACCGAAAGCCATTTGACGGCCGAGACACCGAGATTAAGCAGGTGAGATAAAGTTCGAATATCTCAATATTCTGCACGTATTTGCATGGCTCATCGAGTCAAATTTAATCCGTTTTATTGTATTTGCTCTTTTAAGAGACTCTTTCGTTATTTGGCTACTTTGTGTGCCGCACTCAAACAGATTGGGATTTGCAATCAAATATTTATTTATTCCTTACGTTCGAGAGCCAAACTGGATCAATAGTTGCTCAGGGAACTAGTTTCGCGGCTTTCAACTGCATTTTTTTGCTGTTACCTGATGTTAGCAAAATACATTTTAGAAAACAATAGGTCATAAATATTTTAAAACAACTATCATAAGAAAGGAAGCTAGCATCGGCGATCCGAAGCTTATATTCCCTGGTATTCATCAAATCTGAAATTTGGATTCCAATCCAAAAACGAACATCTTTAAGAAAAATTAGGCCATTTTCCGAAAAGACCAGTTCTTAGAAAAAAAAAAATTAAACAAATTATCATTTTATGTTAAAAAACATGGATAGTATTTTTTGTTCCATAAATTTTATATGGATTTTATGTTTGCTTCAGTGCGTTGCAGACTTCTGACTGAAATTATTTTAGTCTCCGAAAGGGTATATAAATAGATGCATCACTGTTTCAGTTTTTAAAGTTTTGCTTACTCCAAACAAAAATAACATAATTAAGAAAAAACACTTGTGCTTATGGATACTTATGCGACAGCCTTGACTTTCTTTAATGACCAGATCAGCATCACTCATTAACCGTGAACAGAAGAACTCCACTTCTTTTGGCCAAACACTCCGCGTATTTGAAGTGTGCGGCAACCTCGAAAGTTTGCGATGCGGTCAGCGAAGAAACGCTTTGCCCACACAAATAATTATCGCTTAATAGTCAAACCTTTTGCGGGAGGTGGGGAGCGGATACCGCAAGGCCAATCAAAGCGTCATTGAAACGGAAACGGAAACTGCAAGTCAAATGGCAGTCGGCCACAGGAAATGAGGCGCACAAGTGCCCATGGAAAAGTGCGAAGGGGGCGAACTGCCCGCGGACCGCAAATTAACGCGAATTCCACCGACCCACACTCGAATTGGCACTTCCTTGGCTGAGATTCCGAGTCCGATTCTGATTCTGGTTCTGATGAATTATTAAACGAGTGTCCGATGCAGAAGCATCGTCATCATCGTCATCGCCATCGCCATCACCATCGCCATCCTCATCCTCTTCGCGAGTGACCAAGGCAACGTTTGTCAAAGTCTGCGGGTTTGGCTTTCGGTCCGGGGTTCGAGGTTTTTCGGCCCTGCCTGAATGAGCGCTCAAATGAACACCGCAATGAATGTGCGCCGCATGACAAATACGTAAAGTTTCTTTTGAAATTAAGCAGCATTTGCTGCCAATTCTTAACTACATCAGCGCAGCGCAAACTTTGTCCTCTCACCCTTCAGAGTAGTTTTTCCTTTGGCTTCCGTTGGTTAGTTTTTCCTGGGCGAAGCTGGCACACGGAAAAACTGGCCAACAGTTGTAACTAGAGTTTAAATCATGAATCTAGTTGAACAACAATAATGAGTGCAGTTTGGTCTACAAAAGAAATAGTTTTTCGAAAGCTATTTCTTATAAAGTTATAAGCCGAATAATTTTAAATCAGTAATACAAGTATGAGTTAATTATTGAAAAATGATAAATACCTTACAATATATGTAACTTAATATTCAAAAAATTGACAAGCTTAAAGTTCTCTAAAGTAAACAATTTTGTATATTGCTGTCGAAGTTTCAGTGCCATCAGTTTAAGCTATGATTGTCAAAATAAACACTTTTGAGTAATTAGAAGCACTGTTTAATCTTGAATATATAGCTCGAATATAAGCTAATATCTCTCTGTGTATTGAAGCCAAGAGGAGCTTGCTCATTTCAAACTTTTGACACAGAAACTAATTTTGGCAAGCGGGCGTCAGGCAGCCAACCGAGACGCCGAAGGAGAAGAAGTCGCCGGCTGAGATGGAGAGGAAAACCCAGAGCTGCAAGCTTTGCTGGCTTTCCCCTTCCTTTTGGTGGCTTTTCATTCTTTCAGTGATTGCAATATTTCACTGCCTTGCGGTTCGTGTGTTGCATACTTTTGAGCGATGTCGCTGAGGTTTGCCTTAATTAATTGCCACCACTAACCCACTTGCAACGACCATTTTTAATCCGCCGAATTCGCCAGCTGCATTTTTCGCATGTGCCTTGCATTCGAATGTCGCATTTGACTTTGAATGGCGCTTTAATTGTCATTTGATTTGATTTATACCGAAAAGCCAGTGCTGGGTCCCGCAAATTAACGCTTTGCTGGCACTTCTCCCGCTGTCAAATCAAACATACCCCCGTCAGCTGATTTATGACGTTTTGATTGGGCGATAAGTGTCGCGAGTGCCGCAATTGTGTCTCCTAATGTTGTGACACAGCGGGGTTATAGCCTCAAATCGGAGCAAGAGCAGTTGAGCAAGGCTTTAAGCACTCTGCATACACAGCACTCAGTTCAATTTGCCTCCGGCCCAACTCATCGCAAATCCCGGCCTGTCCGTTTGCCAGAGCTCACCTTAATATGCTTCAATTTCATTGTGCACTCGGCAAAGCCTCCGAGTTGGCCAAAGCCAGAACCTAAGCCCACTTGTGCATAGGATATGTGCAGCCAGATGGAGGGGAAAATTTGTACAAATATCCCTGGAAAATAAGCCATTAAACGAGGCCAAGAAGTGGCCATTGAATGTTTGCCGATCGTAAATTGGACAAAAATTGCCAGAAAATTTGCACAGGAAAAAATGGGTATGACAGCATTGCAGCACTTAATTGGCAAACCTTTACCTGAAGAAGGAATATTAAGAATCTTGTGATTTCAACATTTCTATCATTATGTTTTAAAATATTTTAGAGAATATAAGCCGGTTTTTTTGTTTGTTTTAATCAAACTTTTTTTCGACTTGAAAAGTACATGTTTCTTTGGCAATTACTCGGCTAAAATCTTCACACCTTTCGTTAATAATGCAGCTGCGAATCGGAGTTGCATCCAGCAGATAAAGATGCAACAGCAGATACTGTATCTGGCGGCAAGGAAGTGCGCCAAAGAGCTCAAGCTGATTGCATTTCATTTTCAATTTAACTTACTTTTATTTCGAACTACTGCTGGGCTGCCGGTAATGCCGCCGTTCGAGCTGCCGTTCTTTGCAATTACCATCGGAGGGCAGACAACAGTTGGAATTACATTTTCAATATTTCCCAGCAGCAAAGGCAACAGCAAAAACACTAGCATCGGGTTCATTTTTTCTATTTTTTTTTCTCATTCGCTCCGCCTTTGCCCTTTGCCTAGATTCTTGCGCACTACGGCCATAAATTTTTAACTACAAGCTCTTGAATGCAATTACTTTTCAATTTTTTTATTTTCTCCAGCCCTTCTTGTCTAGTCTGCCACTCGCCCTATGTATATATGTTCTATAGTTGAACGCGAAAATTGCTTATTTCAACATTCAACTTTGAAAAGTTTCGTTTCGTCTCGTTACGTTTTAAGAAAAAAAATCAAAAGTTTGCCATAATTTTGCCAGAGGTCTATCACTTTCTTTATCCCCACTTTTCCGCCAATTTTTCCACCTCACTCCGGCTGTCTCAGCTGATTACTTTTATTTTTGTTGCCTCGTATTTATTTTAGCGCGGAAAAAGTAGGTTGAACTTTGTGTTATTTGATCAGGAATTTGACATAATGGTTTATGCAAAGGCAAAAAATGTGAAAATATATAAAAAGTTGCCGTGAAATCTAGGCGACATTTTCCATTCCATTTTCTTCTGAGTGCACTTTGCACTACTGCCCTTTACTGACAAGGCAGTTATGGAACTTGATCTCGGCGATTTTCAACTCGCAAAGTCATTCTCCTTTCACAAATAATGCATAGAGTTAAGCGAAAAGAAAAGCTGACAAAGTTTTGGTGTTAATGCGGTGGTAAAAGATTAAGAATTTAAGTCGATACTGGCATAAGCTAATTTTAAATATAGTTTCATTTGCGCTTAAACAAAAACAAATCTTATTTACAATGATGCAATGATTGTTGCCTAATTAATAAAATTAAAACGGTTATCATTAATCTAGCAAAAGTAAAAAAATTGACATTTTTTATGTGGTGAATGCACATGCATCATTATGCATATCGATCACCGAGATGTCTGCCAGGTTTCTCAGAGATCATTAATGAATCCTGAGGCCTGGCAGCTGTCTCCGCTCGCTAATCCTGCATGGCAGTTATCCTTCGCTGCAGTTCACCCTTTCCTCGACAGGAAAATGCTTGTTCATCCGGCAGCCGCTTGCAAATATTTTCAGCTGCTTGGGAAAATACGTTGTGTAATGTCACTTAATCTTTTTATACGCGCCAGTTGAAAGTATATTTTTTGTTGTAAATTGCCGGGGCGGCCGCGTGGGCGGATTAGTGGAACGGATTAAGAATGAAAGTGTTTGCAAAATACTAAAACTTTATGACGGGCGGCAGATTAAGAATGAATTGTTTTTTATTGCGCCAGTCGTCGAGGCATAAGTCAAAAGTGCAGGTAATACACAGGTACCGCGATCCCAAAAAAATTGGGATCGAAAGAGGGCAGGTAAACAAAGGCACCAGGATATGACAGCTCGAGGTGTATAAAAACCATTGTGGGTGGTGGTAGCAACATCAATCGATCTGCAAACGTTGAACAAGCAACATCGCAACTGCAATATCCTGAAAAATTAGCAATAATATTTCTGAGTGCAACATATCGGAGAGCTCCAAGCAATAAGCAACAAATCAGCATCGTTCAACGGTTTTTCAAGAGACAAATCGCCATCAAACGAGAAAATGCCCCGCTACCAGAAACTTATCAACGAGACCGACAGCAAACCGGCAACAACTATTGGCCAGCAACAGCAGCAACATCGCTATCAGCAACAGCATCAAAAGTCGCCGAGCGTGGGTTATCACCTATATTTGTACCGCCAGCAGCTTTCCCAGAAAAATGTGGAGTACATGCGGTTGTCCAAAGCCAAGTACTTCATCACCGACACGCTCCTGGCCAAAACGGTGCGGAATTTGAAAGGCTGCAGCGTCGAGGAACTGAAGACGGTCAACACACAGATCGTGTTTCGCCACAAACTCCGCCATCAGATCCAACGACTGCGCAAGCTGAAAAGTCTGGGGATCAAGAACGCCAATCCCAAGATGGAGAGCACGGAACTGTGAGGAGGAACCAAAGGATCTGGACTATCTGAAGATTTCTATAGCTATGATTACAACATAGTTTCGAAGAATTCTCCTCTAACGTCTACTCAACTTGTAAATCACTTCGTATTTTGCCAAGAACTTACAAAGCCTATTTTATGATTAGTTTAAGTGGCGGGCACTGCATAAATGTATATCTGTTAATTTTAAGCAAAGAATTTAAAGTTTAAAAAACATATTAATAAATACAAAAGCGTATTATAGCTACATTTAAAACAAAATTGCTGGTTTTTAAGTATTTTTTTTTATTATTAATTTCAGACAATAATACGCAGTTATATAATTATAACAAAAAAGACTATATTTTGTAGTATAATAGTCACACCATTAATTACATAAAAAGCATTTGTTTATTGATAACATAAGCTGATTAACAAATTAATTGGTTAAACATAAAACAGATCAAATTAAATCAGTCAATTAATAATTAGTTAAATGCTAGTTGATGAGCAGAGTAACTTCCAGGCATGCATTAAATAGGTTAATGTATTAATTGTCGGTTTTATTTCAAGTCGTCAAACTACCTGCCAGGCACTACAGCCTCCTCGAACCAGTATTTCGACCACAGTCGTAAATATTATTTTTGGAAGTATTTCGGCTGTCAGAATCCTGTTGCCGCCTGCTCAAATTTAGACAACGAGAAGTCATAGATGTGGACAGAGCCAACCTCAATGTAACTATCAACTGAGGCCAATTTGTGGCAGCCACTAATTGAGTTCTCTGGGCAGCATCTTGACACGTGTCAAGACAAATCATCTAAGCTTCTCCCCCCTTAACCCTCGACCGCAGTTCATTAGGAATTTATGAGCGTTTCGAGTGCATTGAACCCCAGAGTAATCGATTGTTAAAATCCTTTTTTAACAGACTGGACAACCCGCATGAGGAGTCCCGTGAATGATTGGCGACTTTTTGGGGCAGTCTTTAATTGGAAAATAATATTCACAAAGTGCTTTACACTTAACTGAGCACCGACATCATTATTTTCACTCAAATAATATTAATAAATGCCGGCTGGCACCCGCACTCCGCCCCGCGTTATAAATAAATGGCGCACATAATGCGGCCAGCAAGTCAATTTTATTATTGAAATGAGTTGCGATGTTCAAACAGAAACCTCAGCCAAAGTGAATGTGAGTGTTAACAATTAAAACACACACATCCACAGGGTGTTGTTTTACATATGCTCGCAATTATGCAGTCTGTGGGCGATGCAATTTGCAAACACTCAAAAGTAGGCTATGAAAAATGTCGCACGCACATTAAATTTTCCACACAATCAATTTCGTGCCAACGAAGCTCTCTCTCACAAATGTTAATTTATTTATTTATATATGTAGGCTTAATAGCTCCGACATCCTGTCGAACATTTCAGCTCTAAATTTAAATCAATTTCCATCATTTCTTGTGGGGCATAGGACTTTATGCTGCGGCAGTCGATTAGTGCGCTTCATTATGGGCATCATTTTCATTATGTTTATTATGAGGTCCCCCCACGGGTGCTAGTCCCGCCCACTTTTCCAAGGAACCGACCGGTCTCGAGTTAATGCAATAAATAAAATTTCAACTGCACCGTCGGGCATGTTTAGCCGCATGAAAAGCGACAGTAAGCCGGGCCTGCATAAGAAGTTGCCTGTTTATCTTGGCCCGGTCTTTGCCTTTTGTTTATCCCGGTGTTCACTGGAGGTCCTGGTGCCCCAGCAACACAACAACTGTCCCAAGTCCCGTTTTTTCCACTAACCAGGCTCATCTGTTACACGGCAAGTAAAACGAGTCGACGAAATAAGGATTTTTATTGTCATGGAGGTCGCGTTTTTTGTGTCCTTCCATTTCGTAATTGAATTCGAATATTAATAAATGTAAGAAAAAGAGAAAAAATTGGATATATCCATGGAGTTTATAATAATTAAATTTACTCTTTCAGCAATTTGAAAATATGTTTTAAATATTTGTTACTTTTTTAAACTGTTTCGTTTCCCCCGGTGTACCTCTCTGTCACTAGATGGCTGTTTTCTTTCAAAAAGTTGCCTTCCGTGCTGGCCTTGTTGTTGGCTTTGGCTTTGGCCCGTTTGGTTAGCGCAGTCGCTTGGCTGCCTGCTTGGCCAACTGCCCTAATGAGTTTACAAAAAGTTTTGCTTTAGCAAAATGCGCAGGAGTGGCGAAAAGAGAGGCGGGCAAAGGATGGGAGTTGGCAGGAACTGCCCAGCATGTTATACAAATTGCAGAGACCCTGGACAAAACTGTCATCAACGTGTCGTCCTTCTGCAGCGGTTGCATGTGGACGGAGGAGGATGGGGGATGGGGGATAAGCGGGGGATCCTGCCGAGCGACTTAGGCTGCCCCAGCCGTTTGTTTACCTATCCCATTTGCTCTGGCATGTTGCATTGTTGCTCGATACTCGGCGACCGAGCGAAAGTTTTCGCATTTATGTTGGTGTAGAACTTGCTGCAGAATATGCATTTTAATTAGTTTAGCAAAGTTGAGCAACTCCAGCCAGACACCGACACAGTCTCCGTTTGCGTCTGGTTAATTGCGCAAATTTAATGGCTGCTCCTGCATCTGTCGCTGCGCTTTAAGCCAACGGCAGTGTGTGCCTTAACTTGGCTGGCAAAAGTTCTACGACCGCCTACAGCCTACAAGCAGGCAAGTGTACCACAAAAGTTGTTAACATTTCACATTTCACTAAGTAGCAAATTCAATTAGTTTGTTGTCATCTCCCCTCCCTTTTCCCATTCCCCCTCTTTACAAAACCATGTGTACGTTTTAGTAAATTACTTTAATGCCCCGAAAAGTTGGTTTCCCGTTCGGCTTTGCAATTTATGCCTTTCGTAATTTACTTAGTTGTCTGGCACATAAATTAATTTGCCTAAGCATAAATCTGTCGACTGTGTGTCGGCGCTGCATTGTGGCCGAAACGAGGCTGCAACTGATGGCAGGAAAGATACCTCATTAGGTTTTTCAATAAATTTAATTCAATATAAATAGAGTGGCGCTTCAGACGCGTTCCGCTGCCAGTCAGCAGTCAGCCGTCTGCCGTCTGCCGTTCGCCGTCAGCCACTTCATCTTCGTCTGCGCATCCGCTGGGTTCTTTTGGCAACCGCCTGTGGCAGCTACAGGGGGAGTTGCATCAGCAGCAACGGCGGAGCAGGAAGCAGCCTCAAAGTTGCACACGTCGCCTTCGGAGAGGACTTAAGGCAGCTGGTGCTCTGTTCCTGCTTCTGCTCCCGCTCCTGCTCCTGCTCCTGCTCCTGCTGCTCAAACTCCGTCCCGGGATGAAGCTGCTGCTTCCACTTCAACGCTTGGCAGGCGCGAATTCCGGGGGCTATCCACTCACAAAAAATTACGTTGAACTTGTGTGTGAGCAGCAACATTTTTGGGGTGCATTTATTATCATAAATTAAAAGAAAGTCTAATAAAAGAATTTCACATTCGTTTAGCGATTCTTATTATACTTTTTTACAAATTTTAATAAAAAATTCCTGCCAGGTTGTTCCAGGTTTTAGCAATTGAAACCATTTTTGCAATTTGTGAGAGCTCAAGTATATTTTTATAATGTCAAATATTTTCTATTTAACTACCTAGTTTTTGTTCAGTGTTTCAGTAGTCTATGCTCCAGGCTCCCTGATCCCTTTTGACGACCACGTCCTCACTCTCCTTCGTATTTTATGTTTCTTAGCTTGAGCCGCACTAAGCTAAGCGTTTGCAACGCGTAAATTTGGCGCTCCAAAGCGGTGATTATGTCGTCGTCGTCTGGTTCTACCCATCCTCCTCCATTTCCCCCACCCCTCTCCATTTCTTGGCCAATTTTTCGTGCTGACTGCAACGGTGGCGCCGGCATCGTCATCACTTGAATAAATTAAGTTGCCGGCAAGCAGCTAAATGAAATTGTTAATTTAGAGCTGCACAACGGAGCGTATGCTCGATGTGTCTGCGTTACCTGAGGAACCGGAGCTGCTCGGCCGTCCGGCGTCTGGTTTCTGCTGTCCGCTAAGCCGCTTATGGCATGATCCCAATCCTACGGGCAGCGTATGCTCACATCAATGGAACCCCCTGGTGGACGGAGCTCTGAGCTCATAGCTCATCTGAGCTGCCTTCCTTCGCCTTTGCCTCTGATGCTCCGCATCTGCAGCGTAATTGCATTTTAAATGTTCGTGCAGCTGCAAATGGGCAAATGATTACTGGAATTTATATTAAACTTTGGCCCTCAGTCACTTAATTAGCTCCGACTTCGACTTCAGCTGCAGTTTCGATTGGGCGTTAACTACTTTTTCATATGACCATCAATCTGCGGCATGGCCAAGTTTCGTGGGTGGCTGGTCGTTGCGGAAACCGACACCTAACTACCCAGGGCCAAGACAATAACAAAATCGAAAAGAAAAAGGAGAACTTCGGTGCGCACAGAGAGTCAACTTGGAAATATATTGAAAAATGCAGTGGTACTTTTTTCCTCCGGTTTCCCTCGCCCACTCGACAGCAAACTTTTGTGCAACTCGGCTGCGTTTCTCCTGGCCCTCTCGATCCTGGCCCTTTGCCTTTGCCTAAACTGACGTAAATTTATAATGACAAATTGCATTTGGCGCAAATGCGGCGAATAAAAAACGTGGGCCAGCGATTCGCCAGCAGTCGTGGCCAATTGAGCGTGAAAAATTATGAAGCTGGAAAGAAAACGGATAAGACCAAAGCCAGCCAGCGAGAGACAATCAAAGTGCTTAATTACAGCTTAAATCCGCTTAAATGCAAATTCCTCACTCTGATTGCTGATTATGCCGAGTGAGAAATGAATGCGCCAGGTAAAGAAGTCGCAGACGAACCTGAAAAACTTTCACGAAACTATTGAAAAAGGGAAGCGATAGAATTTAAACACAAATGGAGATAATACAATAAAAATAAATTAAGTAATCACTTCCTATACATTTTGTGAATTTATGCAAAGTGCAAATATGACAATGATAATAAAGATTGGAAAGGATTAAATAACATTTTTCACAAATGCCTAATCTTTTATGCTTGATGGGCATAATGAGAAATATTAATAATAACAGCAAATGAAATTAAAACTGCAAAAATGTATGTGTTTAAAATTTGTCAACCTAAATCTCCACAGATTTAGCTGACACTTCAAAATAGCAAACTAACACATTAATAAATAATGAAATTCGTTTAGCAGGCACCGAAAATGTTTTCAATTTTATTAAGCCGTACAGAATTCATTGCGTGTGGATTTTGCACACTCTAATCTCTCCGCATTAGTTTGTCATTTCAATGTGTGTTTATCTGCTTATTTACACTTCAAAAACTAGTTATTTATTTGTGTGACTTGAACTAGAGACCCTGCATACTCGTGTGACCACTGTTTGCAGGAAGTGAAACTGGCCTTAATATTTACAATTTCAATAACCAACCCGAAACCATCAGTCAAACCGGCAGCAAACAAAAGTGGCTTAAATTTCAACCAGGCCATGTTGTTGGCCATGTTGCTGTTGTTTCCGTTGCCCATGTTGCCACATCGTCGTGTCGCTCTGCTGCTGTCGGGGTCAGGGGTCACACTCCACCCACGGGGCGACAGGGGCGCCACCGCGTCAGGCGATAAAGCAAAAAATGACACGTTTTTAATTTTATTTCACACCTACACAAGGGCAGCGACAACAAGGAGCCGCTGCCATGTAATCAAAACTGCAAGAGAGCAACAGTCATAGTGGCAACACGAACAACTGCTGCTGACAACAATGCAACTAACTGAACGGCAGCCCGGCAAGTTGGAGGCGGTAAGAGGTGGTAAGAGCCAGAGCTGGAGCCAGAGCCATAGCCAGAGAAAAATTAGATTTATCACGAGTGGTTGCCGGAAAAATTGTCAACATTTATCAACATTTTTCAACGGGCAAGCGCGCGAACGTGTTTGCAGGCCAAGAAAAGCGAGCAACAACAGAACAACAATAAGAAAGTCTGGCCAAGACTTAGCCGAGGTCCAGGCATCCAAAGTGTGCCAACACCTCCCGCGTGGGAGTTTGCTTCGCATTTTGATTAATATCCAGCAGGATGCAGCGGCGGCAACGTCACGAAACTGGCAACAGAAAGCGGCAACACGGAGAGCAACAATCGCAGCAAGAAAACTAGAAAACAAGAAAAGATTCTGGCCCGTCGTCCAGTTGCCACTGATTGTGAAAAGTGGTCACGATGATGACAAAAATTCACTGGCCAAATGAAAACAAAGTTGCCCGATTTTCCACTAGTGTGTAGGTGCTACTCTTAGCCAATCTCTCTCTCTCGACTCCAGTGAAAGCAGCCTGAAAAGAACTTTCAAAAAAAAAAAAAAAAATTGTAAGAAAAAGAGGAAAAGTAGCAGAGCCTTGAATGCGGTTTATATTCTTTTGACTGGTTTATTTGATTTGGCAGCCAAGGAGTAGGAATGAGCTAGAGAATTGTGAGAAATTGCCCGGGATTTGTGTGTGGCAAATTGAGTTTCAAGCATTGATGCGATTGGAGCTGAAAAGGCACAGCTGCCAAAAAGTGGGCGCCCAACCTTGACTGTAAAGGGCGAAATTAATTAAGGTAAACATGAAAGATTTTGCGGATCAATTTCCCGGCTAATTCTGGCCATTTTTTAGGTCCGCTTTTCATTAGGGAGCTCAAAAGCGAAACACAAACATCAGATGAAACCCAAACAGTTCGGTCACTACTCTTTTTTCCCCCCGCCTGCACATAATCGCATTTTAAACTTTTTCAATAATAAAACTTTTCTAAACGGATTTCCCGCTGGACTCGTTGCGCTTTAATAATTTTTTCCGTTTTTTATCTTTTTGTTCCAGGCAGCAGGCGGTTTTCAGTTGATGAGCAACAAAGGACAGAGTGCATCGGAGCCATTAATTTAAATTGGGTATTATGAGCGCACTAGCAACAAGGACAGAAAGGTCGGTCGTGATTTATGCTATATATATGGGCAAGTTTAAAAATCAAAGGGATACTTTTTCAGATAAATTTTTTTATTTCGTTTGCATTTGCTCAAATATTTCGTTTCGATTTTATAAAGCTTATGGTGCTAAAAAAATTATTTGTGTTAAAAGTAAACTTTAATAACTATCCATATGATGCTGAAAATGGAAATAAAAGTAAATTATAAATTTTTTATTTTTTGTTTTACGAAACGATCAAACATACAATATTAAATTTTCTCAAATTGGATATCATAAAAAGCTTTAGTAAAATCGATGAAAAATATTCCTTCGTTTGATGAAAAATAAATAGTTCCTAAATTAGGTTATTATAATATGATATTTACTTTCGCTCATATTCATTGCAGCTCATGTACGACAAGTCCAAGAAATCGTGGAGTCAGCGGCTCAAGACGCTCGGCAGCGGTGACAGCAGCGGGGACAAGAACGCTTCTCTAGCCGCCGTCAGCGGCATGCAGGCCATGCAGCAGTTGCAGCTGCACATGCAGCAGCAGCACCAGCAACTGCAGCAGCACCACCAACAGATGCAGCAGCAGCAGCACCACCACCAGCAACAGCAGCATCAGCAGCAGCAGCAGCAACTCTTGCCCCACCATGCGCACCACCAGATGGTGACCGCCTACCAACTGCCGCCGGTTCCCGCCGCCGAATTCCTGCCCAGCGCCCTCTCACGTTCGATGAAGTACGCGGAGCCCTGGATCTACGGAACGGTCCGTGGTATTCCGGCCCGCCCCTCCTACGGATATCATCCGCATGCGGCGGCGATTTTCGCGGCGGCGGAGGGCGTTCCGGGTGCCACAGCCCTGGCCGTGGTGATCTGCTCCTGTGCGGAGTACTTGAACGGCACGAAGCGCGACGTGAAGAAGGCGAGCGTGTGCAAGAAGTGCAAGGGGTCACGCCTGCCACTGGCCACCATCGGTGGCACCGGCGGCACGGTGCGTCTGCCGGCAGCTGTCAGCGGCGGCGGTGGCTCCAACTCGCGGCGCCCCATGGCGGCCACCATGCGTGTGGTGAGTGCCACGAAGAAGTCACGTCCCTCCATTCTGGACCCGCAGAAGGATCCCTACGACCTGATGCGCCGCACGCGACTCCTGTCGCCGGAGCCGAGCTCCAAGGACCCGGACGGCAAGTCACGTAGTCGCAGCGAAGGGGCCGCAAGTCAGCCGAGGGGTCGCACTCGCACCCGGGCTCCACCGCCACCGGCTCCCGGCCAGAAATCTCAGGGAGTGGTGGCAGCGATTGCCACTCCCGATCCGACGGACTGCTGGCTCATGGAGGACAACGAGTCGCTGCTCCAGAGCAGCGGACTGGCATCGCGGGCCTCCAGCCGACGGTCCATACTGCGCTGCCACGTCAATCCCTACGATCTGATCTCAAGCGAGGGGGGCAAGCTGCAGAGCAACGTGCGGAAGCCCCACGACCACTTCGACGTGGCCGACGCCCAGCTGAACGACGACGAGAAGTTGGAGGAGCGCAAGCGGAGCACCAGCAAGTTCTACAGCGGCAATGTGGCGGCCATCGCGGGGCAGCGGATCAGCCTGGGCGATAAATCCGGCGATAGCTCCGATCCAGGTGACAGCTACGAGCGAATTGTCGTGGTCGCTGGTGGAGAGAATACCTCTAATGGACCGCGACGACCGCCGCGCAATAAAAAAACGGATGAGCCGGCGGAATTGCCTGTGGCAGCGCCATCAACTCCTGTGGCAGCCACATCAGCTGCAACTACAGCAGCAACTGTAGCAACTGCGGCAACTATAGCAACTGCAGCAACTACAGCAGTTAAGCCCAAGGCGGCGCCACCAGTTGAGGTGGAAAAAAGCGAGGAGGACAATGGTTCGACCTATACAGTGCTCACTGTAACGCCCACTTCGCCAGCCATCAAGTCGATTCTGAAGCGCCCCTCGACTTTGGAGCTGCCCGGCGTGGGGATATCAACTCCATTGCCACTTCCCGTGGCAGACAACTCTAACCCGGTGACGCCCGCGGGCAAGTCACAGTTCTACATCCCGACGCCGACGGGGACGGCTGCCACGCCCACGCCCACCAGCCTGGCCCAGCCCATGGCCACATCGACACCTACGCCCACTGCCGCTGCTGCGACAGCAATCACGCCGGGTTCACGCAAAAAAGTGCAATTTATGGTCGAGGATAAAATCATAGCCACGACTGCCACTGCCACAGCGACTGCGACAGCGACAGCGGCGACAACTGATGACAGCGATGCCAGTGTTGCTCCAACGAAAACAAACTACGAGTACTACAATCGCAAGCGAAGTGCGGCAGCAGCAACAGCAACAGCAACAGCAAATGCAACAGCAACACCAACAGCAGCAACATCATCAGCAGCAGCAGCAACATCAACGGATCAGCAGGAGGCAACGCTGTTTGCGGCTGACGTTGATGATGAGCATAACTTTACAACTTCCGTCGAGGCAACTCCGTTCATGAAGCCGGATAGTTTGCATTACGAAGATGTTCTGCCCGGGCCCCAAATATTTGACAGCGGCGAATCCTCGAAAATAATCCAGCCAGCGGATGGGTCGCCACATGCCACTGCGAGTCCTGTCAGCGTTTTAACAACTGGTGAGTACTGCGCACTCCGCCCGACCATAAAACAGTTGACTTTTAATTATAAGCTGCAAGTCCGGACATTCGCAAGCCCAGCAGTTTTTCATTTAAGTTTAGTTAACCGGATGGCTACACAAAGCGATAGAGATTGTTTAATATAAGATGACTTTTTCAGGATTACAAAATTAGATTCTTCAATTAACTTGATTATCTGGGAAGGTGGGGTTTTCTGAACTATTTCTGGGCATTAGAATATAAAGTACACCTTTGGGATGTCAACGTTGACTACTTTCCACTAATGGACTGGGTCTCACCCACGCAATAGTCATCAAAATCCCTGTTAACTTAATTTATTTAACCTTTTTCACTGTGTAGTGCGCATAAATGAAGTGGTAGTCTTTTCACATGTGCTGTTTTACTCCTATTTTAACTGTCTGTCTGCCATTTACTCACCCACTCACTGGACCCTGTTTTGAAGTGAAAATGAAAATGCTGGCATTGTTTGCTAATTGCTCATCATCACGGCACGGTCTACGGAGTTTGCCACATTGCACATTACGTATACGCAAAGTTGGCGGCGACACTTTATGCATTATACAAATTCCCTAACAAGCATGAAAACTGTTTTGGCCAGGGGTTGTGCGAGAGCCAATTGAAATGCTGACATTTGAATGGGTATGATGATGGGAGGGATAGGGAGAGGGGGATAGAAAGGGGAGGGGGAGGGGCTGAGGGTCACACCTGGTGCAAGTTCACGCAGGGGTTAACACCATAATCAAGCATCAGACGGAGCCGCAGTCAGACCCTTTGACACAGTCTCCCTGTCACCGGCACACGCTCTGCCGCCCACCCACCACCGGAGCAGCTATTGAACCACCCAGCCAGTCACCCACTCAACCACCCACTCAACCACCCACTCTACCGCCCATTGAACCACCCACAAAGCACGTACCTGAGCGGCAAACAAAACGACAGTCACAACTACAACGGAAACGACTAGCAGGCCAAGTCAACGTGACATTTGCACCCACAAATGGCTGCGACGCACGGCGATATGCCAGCGAACTATTCGCATTCGCATTCACATTCGCATTCACATATGTACATATCCATGCTTATCCCTGTTGCAGTGGGCGTGCAGGGGGCGTGGCACACATGTTCGACTTCATTCAAAGCAAATTAACAGCCGGTGGGAAAGGGAGCGGCAGCGGATCTCATAGACAGACAAAAAGTTTTCATTCAATTAAATTTTGACGGTGGAGAAAAACTTGTGTCCATCAGGGAATTGAGTTGAGTTCGGTTGAGTTGAGCTCAACTGAAGTGAACTGAGTGGGTATCAGGACTTACTGGCCTACATGGGCCCACCTGCAGGAAATATTGTGATTAAAGCTTAGTTTTGATTAGCCATCTGCTTAAGTATTCAGCTTCCTAAAATGAGAAGGTGTTAAAAACAATAATGTGTTTGTAATACTTACTTTAATTTTTAATTAAGATATTCTTAAAGGGAAGGTTAATTATTAAAACCTTTTGAAAAATTATTTCTCAATAAATTTTGGCCTGTGGTATGATTTTTGATCGTTCCACAGTTGCTGAGTTCGCAGCTCTTCTAAAGCTCTTATATTTCCTAAGACCATGTCATATAGACTCTTTCTTTTTCCTTAACTTGGGAATTTGGGAAATGCGGCCAGACAAAGCCAAAGCATCGCGAATTTCGCAGGCACTTCTTGAGAGCCAAAAGACACCGGGCGTCAGCCATCCGACCACAATCGCGATGACTGCGCTTATGGCTGTCTATTATGGCCCAAAGGAGAGGGCCTGGGGGGAAGCAACAGTGCCATAAAGGTGACATGGTCGTGGCAATGGCGCCCACGTGTCTCCGCAAGACAATTACAAAGTTCCTCCTGCGCTGGCTGCAATTTGTTGCATTGTTTGCCGTGAGTTAAAGCGCTTGGAACTTTGCAAACTATTTTTGATTTGATTTTTGAAATTGGTTCGCTACGGGCGCTTAGCCACCCACCATATTCCGACCATCGGGCGACCGCCTTCCGAAATGATTTATGGCGCACGTGTTGCATTCACCGGGGGGACAGAAAAAAAAAAAAAACTGGAGGAGAGTGGGTCGCCAGACGGGCCAAATCGCAGTGAAAGGCATTAAAGTGATAGAGTCTGGCCGCTCGACGGTGAAATTTGCATTTCTAATGCTCCAACGCCAACGCGGCAAAGTTTGAGTCATGACCATGGCCTGAACTCGCAGGATTATTAATATTTCATCTTTGTCTGCGATAGGCGAAAAGTGCGCCGCGATGTCCGACTTCCGAATGGAATTTCAATGGAAATTGTAATATTTTAAGTGGTTGAAGTTGGGGGCAAAGTTTTCGCTTTTCCCAGTGAGACGAAAGAGTACTTTGTATGTTGAACTAAGTAAGCAAATGGAAGTTGAATCCAAATTTAGGGGGATTATCTTTTATGGACACCTTTTCATTTATTTTTCTGCCTATAAACAAATTGATTACACGATTCACTTTTATAAGTAGTAAGCATCCTCAGACTTTGACTTTAGGTGAATTAAATCTTTGCTTCGTTTATTTAAGTCTTTTAAATCTTTAATAGTTATTGACAAAGCAAATAATTCCCTGCCTGTGAAAATATGTTAAAGCCAATTGACTTGTGGTCACTTACTTTAAATTGCTCGGATGCCAGCTCAAATCCCGGATACAAACTCTTGACTAATAAAATGAAATGGCTTTGATAAAGGGCCGAAAGTAGCATTTAATTGAGCAAATCATAAAATTATTTTGTCCGAGTTTCGAGTGGCGTTGGGTTGGGAAACATTTTCAATTAACACGCTGCCGACAGTTGAGCTTCAAAGGAATATCTTTCAGGTGGACGATATTAAGTCATTAGCATTTCTGCAAACCCCCCGCCCCCTCCCAGTTGGCATTCAGGGAAATTCTTGCTTTGCTTTCCTGCTCATTGCAATTTGCTTCACTAATGTTTCTCCTCTGTTTTGAAACGTCGCTCCATTCATTTAATGGCGTCTGCTTTAAATTTCTTTCACTCTCTTTCTGTGTTTCTGTGCTGTGTCCATTAAATGAAGTGTGAATGGGAAAAGCGTTTGGAAATGAGATTTTTAAATATGGCCAGCAATTGTAATTCCGAATGCCAATAGCAGCAGCAGCAGCAACAGCAGCAATAGCAGCAACAGCAGTGGCAACATCAGCAGCAGCAACATTGTTACATTTTGCATTTTATATTGCCAAGCTCAGCGGAAGTTGAGCCTCATGTCTTCATGTACTTTGCATATTTACACTAATAGAAATTGTGGCAGGCAATTGAAAAAACGTTGTTGCTGCCACTGCCACTGCTGTTCTGTTGCTGCTGCTGCTACTGCCGTTTTATGTGTGGCCATAAAAATTGTCGCAGGCGGAGGGGCGTGGCAGGGGGGGGCAGTTTTACGACCCTTCTTCTTCTTGAGCTGCTGCTGCGGCTGTTTTATTGTTGCGACAACAGCAACATCACTAGTGTGTCCAGGCTTCGGCCATTCCTCAAACTTAATATATCCTGTTTCCTGATTTTCATGACGTCCCTATAAGTGCCCAACAAGCTCTGTCCAGCTATGGCCGCATTTTCCATGGCTTTCCCCCAGTTTTCCCCCAACCCCAACTAACTGCTCGACCCCCAACCCCCCGCCGCTTATGCTGTGTGCCATTTTCTGCATTTAAGTGCAATTCTATGCAAGAATGTGCCGACATGCATATTTGTGCTAAAGCCATTTCCCAGCTCTCCTGGCTCGCTTTTCCCCAGTTTTCCCCAGCTTTTGGCCCCTCTCGGCTGCCATAAAATGTTCGTTTTGCCAGCTAATGCATACAAATGCCTGATGCGCCTTTTGCATTACAACAAGAACAGCAAAATAAGTGAATGAAAAAGGAAAGAAAGGAGAAAGACAGCTTAACAACAAACAGAATGCTAAATTTCGATGTGCTCATGTGTGTGCGCGACGGGGGACATTCACTTTTAACTTGGCATTCGGAAAAATCGCATCGAATCTTGACCAAAAACAAAGAGGAAAAGTCCCAGACACTTCTAAAAAGCCGACAATTTCGGTGAGCATGAAAGTGAGGAAAGGAAAAAGTTAAAAGGTAGAAACTTTTTAAAAATCATGCTCTTTTTAAGTGCTTTTAATTAATGATTTGAGTTTCGTTAAGTTTTGACCAAAATCTGTTGGCAGCTTAGGAAAATTGCTAAAAGAAGAGATTCTTTTTATGCAAGTAAAAGTTGTGGAAATGTAAAGTAATTTAACAATTTTGTTGGCTTTTTGATTAGGTATTCATTTTCAGAAGTTTCTCCTGCGGTAATTATATATAAAGCAAACATTTTACGTTTTCCAACAAGGAATAAACTTAATTCAACCATGAAGAATTATACTCCTAACTTATTCTTAAAGTATTGCCAGCAAATCCGATTTCGATTTGGCAAACTAAAATAAGAAATTAGCCAAGCCATAACCCAAGAAAAGTTTTCCTGTCTTCGGACAAGATCTGGCCATTTAAAGCAATTGTTGGCAGAGTTCTTCCTGTTTCTATTTTCTATTTCTGTTGCTATTTCGGTTGGCTCTAATGCTGATGTTGTGTCGGCCATCGATTTAGTTGCTAAATAAATTAAATTTCAGCATGTGTGTGTTCTTGGCACAAGTGCAAAGCCACAAAGTTTGGGAGCGAAGCTCCACTTGTAGATGGAGGCGGACAGGAGAAGACAAATGAACTGCCATTGGGAGTGGCAGACAGCCCTGGCTCACTCAATTCGGCATGAGATATATCGAGTGTCACTGTCGATTTCGCTCAGTGCAGGTGAGGAAGAAAAATCCATCGCCGACAGGGAAGCAAAATATTTGGCATAATAATAAAAGTGCATGATGCATGCTGTCTACGGCCACTGGTCAATGGCCAAGGGTCTGTTGCAATTTTCCGATTATCAATGGACCTTCTTTTCCGGCTGATGTTGCTCTTGGACTTGGT